GTTTGTACAGAGGACAGTTAAGTAGAATATCATTCTCATCGTCTCGATGCAAGAGCTCAAGAGAATACTTGGGCGTGACTAATTCTGCATCTTGAATATACCCGCGATTTATTGTGTCTTTAAAAGCTATCGGTATTGCACTATATATAACGTCAAGAGCGATGGAAAGCAAGCGTTTAGAATAAATACCTACATTCGCATGCATGGATTCAACAGACCTCCAGATGTTATTGTGTAAAAGGTATGTAAAAGGTCACATACATACATACATACACACATACACACATACACACATACACATACACACACATACACACACATACACACATACATACATACACACACATACATACATACATACATTATTATTATTCATGTTTTGATACATGTCAAATGCAAGGATGAACAGTTTTAAAAATTTTCACTTTCAGAAATGACTCCATTTGAGGCTTTTTTTGCGAGATCTAACCATGCCTTCTCTAGAGAACCAAATTCCAATGATGGCAGCCAAAAGGTATGTATAAACTTTTGTTAAAATTGTATTTTCAGCAACATATTGTTTGAAGCCTTGTAACAATTATGGCAATCAAGAGATAGCTGCATCACGAGTTTCTTGCAAATAGCCAAACTTAACTTAAACTTAACAGTTTTGTATCAAAGATTGACTATATTTCAAATTTTGTTTTATGTGAATCTGTTTTTATTTTGATTATTCTGAGATGCAAGTCTAACTCTTGCATTATTTCCGCCATTTGAACTATTGAAGGATGAATGTTTTACTCTTGTCACTGCTTTATCAAAGCAGTCTAACATCAATGATTACATACTTCCTAGTATGTCTTTAGCACAAACTGAATGCAAATTTGAACAGTAATACATGACAACATTATGGTAGTGAAGATGATAATAACTAAATTGATAAATGGCGCAATATGTCAGGTTTCATTGTAACTCACTAACGTCATAATTTTCAGTTTATATTTTTGATCAAGTTACTCTTCTATTGAAAAAAGGGCTTTCAACTTAGTTTTACTGATTTTATTATTAATTATTTTTTGTGTTTCTGAATTCCTAGTTGCAGTCTATAGTGTTTTACGGTGAAGTTGTTTCTTATGGATTCAAATTAACCACCTGACGGCTATATTTTGAGTCAAGAATAGCCCAAAAATGTTATACAGTATTACCTCCAGCTGTAATATTTTCAATGAACTTGTCCATTTAGTCCTATGTGATTATTCAAAATATGCATAATTATTCAATTGACAGGCAAGAGATACAGAAGGAAAACCAGAACAAACATTGTCCCATTGGGTCTCAGTGTCGAACCTGATCCGAGAGAAAGCCTTTCATGCGAGTGAGAGTGAATCGGAAAAAATGGTTCACAGAGTTATGGCCAAACACCCAGTAGCCTTGTATGAGAAAAATGAAAATGTTTTGGTTAAATTAAAACCCAAAACAAAACTCTCAAGCAAGAATAAGTCTCAGATTTTCGATGGGAAAATTATTGACTATAATGATGACACTCATATGTACAAGATTGAGTTTAAATTGGAAAAAAAGTCAATAACAAGGTGGTTCGCATTGTCTGACATCACAAGTTTGACTCGTTCAAAAGAGAGAGAAAAAAGGTCCAAAGGTAGAAACAAACATTTTTAACATTTGGTACGGTTTGTTTTAACATGTTAAGAGTTCAACTTATTTGTTTTTAAAATATCTAATCTTTGTATGCCTATGAAAGAAGACCATAATTGCACTATTAGTAACGCTCTTACATAAATTACAGAGATTTCTTTGGTAAAAAAAAGTAATATTTTAATGATTCGGTATACAATAAATATGATTTTTTGTTTATATGCACTTCTAACGATAGAAGTATTTTAAATACCAAAGCCAGCTGCTGAAATTTAAAACATAGATGTATTTGTGTCTTCTTTCTTAAAGTTCACCAGTTATATTAATCAGTTGTTTGCATCATTTTGTTTATTGTATTGACCATTTAGTACTAATATTTTGTTCATTATTTGTTATATTTTTAACTTTTAAATTTAGTGTTTTATTGGTTCATATCGGTAATTTCATTGATTATTAAAAAATAAATTGTTTTACAGGACCTCCTATAATTAGGACCCATGTTTCAAAGCATCCTTGTCCATAGAATAATAGTTGTTATCACATGACTATACAAACTTGTATAATAATTTTTTTTTTACTTTGAGCAGATCCTATACGATGCAAATGCAAAAAGTCTTGCATGAAGATTGCAAGCAGGAAATGTACCTATGAAATGAATAAATTGTGTTGCAAAAGAACGGTCAAACAAGTACCATGTACTATTAAACAGCACAATCATGCTAAACAGATTTGGTAAGTCAAAAATAACTACTGAATAAAGAAACTGAGTTTTCCTCCTAGCTTAGATAGTAAATAATAAAAGTCAAAAAATTCTCGTCTCCTGTGTAATTAGTAAATTTGTTCTTTTTCATTATTTCTCATTTAATGAGCATGCAATAAGGTTTTCCTGGCTGATGACATCAATAGCCATCCTATTCTTGTGATTAGCTCGATGGGATACATTTAGGTTTGTGGCTGACTTGATGGCTGACAGGTGTATATTTCTTATAAGGTGTATATTAATGTATAAATGTCTACAATAGGAACACTTGCATGGCAAAAGGGACCTTCAGTGATTTGGGAGACAAGAAAAGCAATGAGAAGAATAAGAATCAAAGTGAACAAACATATGATACTGGTATGTGTTGATAAATTAAGTGTTGTAAAAGCAGTTCTATTCGTTTACTGATTTGTATAGGTAAAAACAAGTTAGTCTTGTTCTCATCAGAGGGTGTCTTGTATTTATACTTCCAAGGACATATCTAATTTACCTAATCTCATCTCCCTTACTTTATCCCTTACTTTATCCCTTACTTTCTGGCAGTGTTTGCATCTTATCTAGTTTTAAGGATTAGCCTACTAGTATTAGGTTAATGACACAACTTATTATCCATGTGTCCAAGGCTGTCAATAGTTGCATTCACGCACAGCTCCTTGGCACGGGCTAAGAGGTCTAATGCCTGTGCTAAGAAAACAGGCGTGAACGCTTAGCACGGGCTAATGAATGCTACTTCCGGGTAAAATCTGATCCGATTTGAAGACTCTGTCCAGACCCTTAGCACGGGCTAAGTGTGCACAAACGTCCTCTGTGGCGACCTTTGGGTGTTTATATTATACTCGCAATCAAATATATGCAACTTTCTCATTTCCAAATGGCAACCAAGCTCAGACGTAACAAAGACGCAACCTGTCTGCAGCCAGTTTTAACATTTTCAAATCTAAACTTAAAACGTGTACGTTTCAGACAGCATTTCTATATTGGGCATCATGGTGATGGATATTAGGCGCTATACTAATTTTTAATTATTGTTATTATTATTACAACCTAGAAAGACCCATGATTTGAAGAAAAAAAAATATTCAAATCTGAGAAACGAAAAGTTAATTCGTTAAACAAATCTGAAGTTTTAAAGGAATGATGCTTTGTCCCATGTTCGTATAATGACTCCATAAACGACTTTCCCAGAAGTAGCAAGATTGGGGTGCAAAAATACTCCTGCTTTGTCAGGCTGAAAAAACAAACATCTCAGTTTGGGAAGGGAATTTTATTTTTGTTACATTGATTGATACATTCATTCTGTTACGCCATTGTATACTATTTCTGTTCATCAAAATAAGTTGAGTCCATCTTCTCTTGCGTTCATGATGTCAGCAGCAGAAATTTTGTGTTCTTAAACCAAGACTTAACAAAAGGTCACCGACTGCTGGCTCCCTTCAGCTTGTGCTAAGGACTGGCCCTCCCAGTGCGTGGACGCAATTGGGTCTAATCAAAATGCAAACATGTGAGATAAGCCTAAATCAGCTTAAATCTTAGCCCGTACTTAGTGTAGTGTGAACACTACTTAAAAATCACTACTGGTGTTCTCAGTAGACGAAATAAGCCGTTATCACAACGCCTTTTATTTGAGAATGTTTTAAAGTGTGTGTGTGTGTAAACAGAATACGCCGTTGTGGCGCTGGCGTTTTTGACAGTCGTAAAAGGGGTGGACCAGATCCTAAACTCAGTTGTCACACCGGCTTTTTGCACAATGGAATGTGCCGTGTGAGCACAGTACGAAGGCCATAAGCCCTCTATCGCCGACTTATTTATGCTTGACATTACACAAGATGGCGTCAGAGGTAACAAGTTGAATTTTCTAGCCAATCTGTTATCTCACGTTCGTAACACTATTTTTTCCCACCAGTTATTTTTGCGTTGTCGGGTCAAAATCGCTCCTGTTGCCGTGTCTGTTATTGCATTATTTATACACGCGAATAGCGTGAACATGAATCGATCATTTCTCAGTCTTTTTTAGCTCCGCTGTAGACTTTGTCGAGCGGAGCTTATCATATGAGTGATTGTCTGTCGTCGTCCGTGTCAATGTTTTACTTTTTCGACTTCTTCTTGAAAACTACAAGCCTAAATGCTTTGATACTTGGTGTATATGTACCTTGGGTAGACCTCTCTTAGATTTGTTCATTTCATGTTGATATCTTTAATTCTCTAATTTTGGTGAATATTTTTGTCATTTTTGGTAAAAACTGATATTTTTGACTTCTTGTTAAAAACCGCAAGTCCGATTGCTTTGATATTACATATATAGGTACTACATGTGGACCTCTCTCAGATTTGTTCATTTTGTGATGATATCTTCAATTCTCTAATTTTGGTGAATATTTTTGTAATTTTTGGTAAAAAGTGATATTTTCGACTTCTTGTTAAAAACTGTAAGTCCGATTGCTTTGATACTATTCATATTGTTCATTTTCTAATGATGTCTTCAGTTCTTTAATTGAAATGTGCATTGCTAACAGCGGAGCTATCTCAGCCGATAGGCTGCTTGTTTAGACATGTGAGAACGTAGCTATTATCTTATTATATTTTAGTTTATTGGATTGTAGGTAGTAGTGCTTTATTCATTTTGTCCCTAATAAATTGATCTTGTTTTTTGCAGAATTGAGTTTTAAAACATTTATTTTATGGGGTGTGATAAACTTCTTATTTGGGTAGTGTGAAGACACCAGTATAATACCATTTCAGTCAACAAACAACCAATCATCAGACATGTATGTAGTTCATGATATAATAACTCTTAATTAATACCGGGTTAATGAAAGCAAGACAATCGTAGCATTAGACAACCTAAATACAAGATTACTAGCCCTTAAATAGGCCATGGCTCGTAAATCATAAGGAGGTTGGCTTTCATTTGGGAAAGAAATGAAATATTTCTAAATGGTATATTCTAACTGTCCATTGCCATACATGGCTATGTGACATCAAGTAAACCCTGGTTAATCAACTTGACTCCTAATGAAAGATTTATGAGTTCCTGTAGGAAGTCCAAGTATTCTAAACTAAATAGAACCCCATATGTTTCCTAACCTGTATCCTCTGGGAGGGTCAAGTTTCTCTCATTAAACTGTGTGTGACCAACAAATATGACATGGGGAGTAATAATACTGGTTGCAATTTAAAATCTATGTTTGCATATATTTAAGCCTCTAATTATTTATGTGATAATTGTTACCTTTTAATACAAGTCATAAAGTGTCAATATTGCTAAACTTGCCAGATGTCTGGACAAAATGACTAGATTTTTAAACTTGTCCAAAGTCATGTAGGTTTTTTAATGTTTTGGTAGATATGTTTACACCAGTTAAGTGTGGTAGATTCACTGATTTAGATGGTTTCCCTGCCCTGCCCTGCCCTTCACTTCCTGTGGTGTAACGCCTCTCACTTTCCATGGTAACTGGTCAATTATTACAAGAGACCCATGTACCCTTTCAATAGTCGAGCATGGCTACAAGATCAAGTTTGCCAAATAACTTCACTGGTGTCAATAGCAGGACTCTCTCCCTTCTCATTACTTGTATAAACTTGGTAGACAAGAAGGGAGGGATGTGGCAAACCATAGTTTGCTTATTGGCACTTATTAGTATTGTATTATTTTTTCTAACTTGTGGCTAATTTGTAATAAAATTCTAATGCAATTTTGAACTTTTCTATTTCATAGATATGTTTCTTAAAGAACTTGAATTGGCCCTTAATAGAGTTGAAAGCCATGAAGAAAGGCTCTTGCAAAGAGTTGAAGCAGAAGGATTTTCTGTACGAAATCCTATACTTGGTGATGGAAACTGTTTTTTTAGGTCAATTGAAGATCAGTTAGAGCGGTTTGAATTTCTGGAAATAAGAGATTATAAACTTTTAAGACAGCAAGTTGTACAATACATGATTGATCATCCATTAACAGTAAGTGATCCACTTTATTATTTATGATCAGCTTAACTTTTTAGCTATTCAGTAATGATGTGATTTTTTATGAACTTCTAAATAAATGTGAAATCATTGTATTCATATGTGCTATACTTGTTTTACTCAAAAAGTCTGAATATAATTAATAATAATAAATATTGTATGACACTCATCTATTACTGTATTGATGATAATGATATTTATTGCAAGCAGCCAATGAAATCATAATGTTGATATTCTATTTTTAAATTCCAGGAGGATGGTATAAACCGTAAACATCAGATAGTTGGAAACTGGAGGCAGTACATAAAAAAAATGAAAAAAGATGGTACATGGGCTGATCATGTGTGCGTTCAAGCGACAAGTGAAATGCTGAAAATCCCAATACACATTGTAACTTCTGCATCACCTGAGTCCGATAAATTTGATATTATATTCAGCCCGAAGAACTGTATTCCTAATTGTAAATTACTACTTGGGCATATAAGCGAAAATCATTACATCAGTTTGGATGTAGCAGGTATCCTTGTAATTTATCTGTATATCCCTAATAATGTTGATAAGCAAAGTGGCCTGTAAGCAGACATTATTAGTCCCTGTTTGGATGCAGTCCGAAAACATGGACTTGTGTTTTGACCCTTGTGCATCAGTGTGTATGTGTATGTGTGTGTGTGTGTGTGTGTGTGCGCGCGCGTCTGGATCTGTATCTCAGAAATGCCTGGACCAACATGCATCATACATGATATTATACATATGCACATCAATATGTTTTACAATCTGATTCAAGATGGCAGAATGGCAGCCATTTTTGTGCTAAAAAATCATCAAAATCAAGCATTTCTCGGCTGTTTACAGATGGATTTTGTTCAAACTTAGTATATTCATTAGATAGTATGGGACCTTGATGCAAATGTTTTTCAGATAAGATTCAAAAAGGTCCCACTGATGGCCATTTTGTTTAAATGAATGTGGTTCGCGTGCCATATCTCTGACATGCTTGAATGACTATGTTCAAATTTGATTTTGTTTTAATTAATGCTGTTCCAGAGCAATATCTCTCAATTTGGACAAGTACTTGTTTGACAATCAGATACATTGTCAATCATTTTAATGTTAAACAACCATCATAATCATATTCCTGACATGGTTATATTCCAGCTATATTACTATAAACAAAACTATATATCTTTAATTCGATAACTAACCGGAACTGTGCCATGCATGGCTTGTTAAAATACTCAAGGGTAGGCAATACATCTAACTGAAATTGTGGCATTTGGCCAAATTTGTATATATTGTGTGCGGTATTTTTGAACTTTGAAACATATATCAAGTCTTATTATGAAATAGGTTAGCTCAAGTACATTTAATAGTATGATTTGATGAACAATCATATTTGTTTATTTATTTCTGAGCTTGTGTTAATCTTGTTTCTATTCACTTTATAATTTCATCATTAATTTAGAAAATATTTCTTTTTCATCTATGTGTACAATGTTCAGAAGTCAATTTAGAAAAAGTAGCATCAGAAAAGGTATGTATATTGAGTATTTTATATTTCCACTAAATATAATATGTACTCTATGTAAAACTCTGATTTCTAATGCGTCAAATTATTTTTCCAATAAAGGTTATAAAGAACAGCAACAATTCTAGTGGTGACACACAGAAAGAAATGAGTAAGTATTTTGTATCAAGTACATGACTTGGTTGTAGTATAAGCTAAAACTAAGATTTTTCATATTTTGTACAATATGTATATATTCTAGAAAAGTCAGACAGTAATGATATTTTGTTTTATTTAAAAAAATATGTACATTCAGTATGCAAGGTTGTGATAGTTGCACTATGTTTTGAAGTATTGTTTTGTATAGCCATACCTGATAAAATCATTACTAATGCAAGTTACTTTTTATTGTTTTAGATTCATCAACTGATTATTCGCATAAATATGATCTTAGAGTGTGTCCCCCAAAGGTAAATGTGTTAATTACCTACCTATCAATAAAATGTATGTTGATATGTGTTTGTGTTTTTCTCTAGACATATTACTCAACAGTGTTTTTTGGTTATTTTCACATGGAAGTTAGCAAATTATTACAGTTGCCTAATGCTTTTTATTTTAAATTTACATTACAGAAACGGTTCTCCCAAAGCTGGTTGCAGTATGAAGCTTCTAAAATAGAAAATAAAGTGGAAAGGTTAATTTAGCAGTAAAAAAAAGCATGAAGCATGTTTTCTTATATTTCTCTGTTCAGGCAAGGTTGTTTTAGTTGCACCGTTTTCACAATTTGTTAGCCAACTTTTGTTCATTAAGGTGTGCCTGATCTGGTTTATATTCAAACTTGGCTATGGCTTCTGATGGTTTGGGTTCCTGTTATTTACTTTTATGATTTAATTAAAAATTGCTTTTTTTAAATTTCTCATACGTATTAGCTTTCACTGCTTTGTGTGTAAATTTGTCACAGAAGCAAATATTATTAGTGATTTCTTGTGTGCAGATTCATTGTCTGTGTTGGTTTGTCATTTGCATATGGATGCATTGTGTTTACAACCCAGTGATACAGGCAGAACAAGTTTGATTGAAGCTTATTTTCCCAAGAATACACTAAAATCATGTACTGCCTCATGTTGTTTGAAATAAGATTTTGTAGCAAAAACTGTTCAATATAACCATGTTCATTTTTATTTAATAGCAGTGCAGTTTCTGTTGCTGGTAGTACCTCCAAGAATTATGATGAGAATTTTACACAAGGTTTGTGGTAAAATAATTTAATGTAAATAATTGATAGCATATTTAACTTGTACATTAATTAACCAGACCATTCTAAGTTCTGGAAGATTATAGTGTTATATAGGTCACAAAATTATAGCTACCAAGTTGAGATATTTTTTAAAATGTCTTTATTTGTAAGGATCTAGTTCCATTCATCAGTTATTAATGCTGTATACATTAGGCACATAATTTTTTTTTAAATTTTTAAATTTTTTCAGGAGATACTGCTTTTAGTGCTGAGCATTGTGATATCATTGACAATCAACATTTGAATTCAGATGTGAGTAAGCTTTTGATTTTCATGTACACGTAAATTATGTAATTTGAATAAAGTCTGCAATTCAGTTAAAATCAGCTACAAATATTTCTACCATGTAGGTTTAGCAACAGATTCAAATGTGTAACAACAGATCTGAAAGTTCTGTTTATGCATTTGGAATATTTGAAGTGTTATAATTAACTTCAAATTTGATAACCTAAACTTTGTATCAGGTAATATACTTGTTTTGTTTATTTCATTATAGATCATAAATATTTATTGTCAGTTATTGTTCAAATCGTTGTCTGTCAAGGTAAGCATAAACTATGTTAAACCTCTTGTTGAGTGAGACACAGTCACCATCATTTTTCAAAATGCAAAATCATGTGTGCAACAACATTTTTGATGCATGGTTAAAAAAAGTAGTATATAACAGATTTCAGTGTTCTCAAGACACCTGATTTCAAAGCCCAAAATTCATTAAAAAGCCATAGGAAGTATTCAAAAGCACCAGGGTGGGAAAATCTATACAATCACCTCTAAGTTTATATTAGTATATTATCTCACACCTAAAATGTATATCAGATCTTGTTCGTGCATGGGTGCATTTTGCCAAAACCTAGTAGATTAAAATTGCTCAATTGAAGTGTCTCTGACATATATTGGCTGATTGCAATCAAACTTGTATACTAAAATTAGGTAACTTGTACCATGTTCTGATTAAAAATGGTCTGTTCATTTCATTTCAATTTTGTTTACTATTTAACTAACTGGGAATCTGTCGTTCGATGACTTTCTTTCCAAATTATGTAACACTGCTATTAATTGGTTTCTACTAAATATTTCATTAATTTTTTTCAAACATTTTATTCACAGGATCAATGTGATATTGGTATTGCTTCAACTTTTTTGATTCCAGCTCTTGAAAAGGGCACAAAGAATTATAAGGCCTTCATTACACAGGTAAACCAAACTTGTGTTAAGAGCTCCAAGCATGCAGTTTTTGTGTGTGCTAATACTGGTATAATACCATAATAACACTGATTGGCTGTTGGTCATTTTATCAAGTATCCACTGTTTTACTTGGCAGAGAAAAAGCATATGGCTGCAATAAAATCAGAACCAAACTGCTTACTTATGGAGTATTACTAGAATGCTTTTATAGTACAATTGAGGTCTTGCGATGGTCAGATTCTTTTGTATATTTGTTATGCTGCCAATACATGTACTGATAAATGCAATAAAAATATATGATCATTTTCTACTTTCAGAAATCATCACTATGGAATTTGAAGTTTTTGTATGTACCTATACATGTCCCTTCTGGAATAGGTCATTGGATATTGGCTGTAAGTATAAATAAACGTTCAGTATTTATCTCCTGACTAGTAAAAATCTATATTTGTGCTTTTTATTGTTG